GACACTAGAGCGCCATCTTGACGAAACGTTTCAGCTGCAGAGATATATGGTTGCAACGGGGCAGAAACTAATGGAAATCCAACCCAAGATTGCTTCTGGACTCGTTGGGGTTGCGGAAGAGCTAGAGACGTGTGCAAGCTTCGACATGAAGCGCTTCACAGATTTCATTAGAACTCTCTTCCAGGAAGTTCAAAGAGGTCTGGAAGTTCGGATAGCGCGAATCATTGGAGATCTTGAGGGGACCTTGGCTCGTGATGGGATGATACATTTGAGGAGGTAGTGATGAAAAAACGCAAGGAGTTCGATCAATAACGGTAGTTTCGACTGATTTATATACTCAGATTTGTATAGAGAGCTATAGGCAAATAACATATATAATTTTAATGCAAAGGAATGCCAAGAACTTAACTTTCATGTACTATACTTTTGATTGAGCAAATCATCTCTGCATGTCAAGCTTTTGATGAATAAAAGGGTGATGAACACGTAGGATTATTACCAGTGGTGGAGTCAGCATTTTAGAGTACGAGGGGCTCAAATGTCTCAATCCGAAACGCTCTCCTGATCCTACAAAAATTACTCTGCAATGTGGTAAGTAATTGACCAACATTGTTTAGATCTGGTATCGTGTCGTCCTCATCATCCTCTTCGTTAAACCTAAATCTCAAGCCGATCTAACTTTCTTCCTCACCCTCTCTCCCTCTCTCCCTCTCTCCCTCCACTGATCTCCAGACCAAAGCCCTCCTCAAAGCTCACAAGCAATGAATTGTCTAAACTCCATTGGAGCTCAACCCTGATGAAAGAAATTAAATCATAAACGTCGGGTTGGGATTTTGAGCTTACGGAAAACCTTGAACGAATTTGTAAACTGAGGTCAAAAGCTCAATGTGGGAGCTCCAAAAGGAGCTTTGGGATGAACTTATTAGGGTTTCAATCCCATGTTCTTTTTCCTGGACGGAAAAGGAAAGGCTCACAGCTCTGAGTCACTGATAGAAATTAGAGAGGCGGCCATTAATGGGTGGGATGGGGCTTGGGGATGTCTCAGTCAGGTTGAATGGCTCAACATCTGCAGGTGTTCCCAATTTGCCCTACAGTTATGAATTGGGGTGGTTGCGTTGGGGCTCTGCTGATTAAAAACTTTGGTCATCGACCTTTCTTGTGAAGGAGAAGGTTGCTTTCTTGTCAATTAGGTGCTATTATTGCTATCTCTCTCTCTCTCTGTTGAATTGTATTCCTCATCAAAAGCATTTTGAACACCACGGGTGGCTATCAAAGACAAATTTCAAGTTCGTATTTCACACGGCACTTCTTAAATTTGATTTTCGACGTTGGTGGACGCATGATGGTGGTTAGAGAAGCCTGAAATGTTTATGTGAGTTTTCTTAACCCTCATAATAGTGGATTACCATAACGAAGCCATTAACTAATGCTTTTTTAAAAAACAAAATATATATATATGCATATTATTTTTCTGTTCCAAAATAGTAAGCACACGTTCTTCTTGTTGTTGTTTTGTCGTTTAGGGAGCCAATGATTTGAGTAGCTAGGTATAGAAACCTCCACCTTAAGTAACATTTGATCATAAAACTAGTGTCCAAATGTATTTTTTTTTTAAATTTTTTAATTTTATTTCGTGGACATAACTTTTTTATTTATTCGAGCGTAATTTAATTATAAAAAGGAGAATTCGAACATAAAAACATAATGTGGGCACATTGTTATACCATCTTAATTATGTTCATGTCTGCAAAATAAAATAAACAATTTAATAAGGGGTGTGTTATCCACACACCTTATTTTACTTCTCACACACCTTTTTAATTTTCGACAGTCGGATCGGATGAATTGAAGAAAATCAACGGACATAAATTATCAAGGGGTGTGTGAGAAGTAAAATGAGATGTGTGGATATCACACCCCTTTAATAAAATGAAGCACTAGAAGCATCCTTGCCTCCTTGGACAATTGGAAAAAGAAAAATGAAACTAAAGACCTAATGGGCAGGTAGTGGATACAGCTATGTATTTAAAAGTCTAAAGTCCAACACTTTCATACCAAGAAAAAAGAGATCATGTGTAATTGTCACTCTATCATGGCTACTTGGCATTTTAGAGTTGGAAGGGAATTTGCCAAGTTATATTGCACGCTTGTCGACAGATGCCAATAATTTTCGAAGGAGTATGTCAACTTATGTCAATAACTTTTGAGTGAGTATGACGACATATGCAAACTTATGTCGAGTGAGAATGTCTAAAGATGCTCATAGCAATTAGCAAAGCATACAAAGAGATGAGGCTAACATCTACCCTGCCCAATGTCGATAGAGGTAATTTGTCGAACAGTTGGAGTGTAGCTTTCAAAGGCATTTCATGTTTTATAAGGGTAACACAAGTTCTTCCATGAAGAATTTATAAGTTTGGCGGTCAGCTGACCCACCTTATCCCACGGTGGATCGGCCTCTGTCGCTAACACTGCTCATTTGTTTAGCTTTTGTATATTGATTGTATCAAGGATGAATCGAAAGACAAAAACAAGAGAACGAGTGGAGAAAAAGAACACGAGAGTTCGTAAATCATTGTGCCTAAGTGTTGAGAGAGGAATGGGACTTTATTTGGGGCCCTAAGCCTTCTTTAAAAACTTGTTACTTGAACTTGACAGCCAGCCAGTAAGAAGTTATTTATTTTCCTCAACCAATATTAATGCAGAAACAATTGACCAAATACATTGGCAATGTTTTTGTTACGTGTTTTACCCTAACTTTCTACACTGCCACTGTATAATATGTCGGTAGGAGTGTATAAATAAGGAGCAGATAAAGGGAGTTTTAACGAAAAGTTCGCAGTACTGTTCACTTTAACGAAAAATTACATTTTTACACTAAAAAGTCAAACTTGGTACTATTCATTTTACCCTTTATTTTGTCTTTATCATTAAAACTCAAAGTTTTCAAGCTATTTTCATTAGTTTTCCTGCATATGATTAAATGCAGTCGTTCTAGCAAAAGCCTCATGCATACTGATTAGCAAGTACGACTTATATCATATGTCATATAAGTCATATATCTCTCGTAATCTCATGTTACCATTACATCCATGATATATATCATCTTGACTCCACTGATATATACTAACAAATAATTTTCAGTATTAACGCAGTCATTGTAGCAAAAATCTCATAAATCCTGATCTGTGAGTATGAGTACAACTGATCATATGTCGTATATCTCTCTCGTAGTCTCATATCATTATCTTGCTTATCATGTGATTACACTAACATACATATTATTTTTCCGCTAATAAACAATAATTTTCAGTATTGTTTCTTTTCTTCTTTTTATTTCTTTTTCGTTTCTCCCCCCCCCCCCCCCCCACATTTTAGAAAATGAAGTTCCATGGCATGCACATGTGCCACTTTTGTGCAACTTTTGACTGGTTAAAGCTTGTAAGAATGTCGATAAAGAGCTCTCTATCTTCCAAATATTTCAAATTTCATGTCACAAAACTTACTAAAAAGGAGAAGAGAATAATAATTCCCACTCAAATTTGTTCAATTTAAAATTTTAGCACCATTTTTTTCATTTTGTTTTGTGTGTGACAAAGAAAGTGGAAGGAGAAGATTCCAAGGAAAAGTTGTTTAAACATATGTGCCGCAGTTAGCTGGCTCTTTTAATCTGTGTTGTAGAGAGATTTTTCAGTGTATTCGAAACACGTGACAAACATTACATGTCATTATATAATTTGAATAACATATAAAAAAAAATTCCTTCAATTATATAACGACATGTGGTGTTTCGCCTAGTATTCCGAACACACTTAAAAATCTCTTGAATGTTGTGCACTTGTGTGTCCTAAAACTTCGATCTTTACAAATTCTACCATTTGCCATCATAACCATCCCATCGTTTTACTTTCTCCGCATCCGAGTTTATACATTGATATGTTTACTTAGAACGAAAAATGCGAGTTTTTTTATTAATTTTGAATTTGATATACACAAGTTTCGAATACAAGATTTAAGAGAAATACTACTCAAATTTAATGTCTTTAATCATTTTTCTCATCTAAGTCCATATACAAACATGTTTTTTTGAGTACATTGATATTTTTACATTATTTAATATATAAATTATTAATATTTTATTATGATCTAGGTGACCGGAGATGACGAGGAGTCTATCGGGAGTGGTTGTTGAGCATGACGAGGACGAGAGAGGATAGTCTTAGTTAGTCCCATGGTTATTGGGGGGTCTCACTAATACCTCTTAGTGAAGGGTTTTGTCCATGCTAGTCCCATTTAGTCTCATTAATGTTAGTCCCAGCATGGAACAAACACAGTATTGGACTAACAGCTAGTCCAGTCCAGTCCCACTTAGTGAGGGCAAACAAACGCCCCCTGATATGCTTACTTAGAACGAAAAATGCAAGTTTTTAATTAATTTTGAATTTGATATACACAAGTTTCGAATACAAGATTTAAGAGAATTACCACTCAAATTTAATGTCTTTAATCATTTTTCTCATCTGAGTCCATATACAAACATATTTTTTGAGTTACATTAAGATGAGAGAGAATTCGGCAAAACTACATAATGTGCAGCTTTCAAACTATAGTACATTGATATTTTTACATTAAGAGGAGGGAGAATTCGCCATCCACGAGGTTCGAACTTAAGATCTCTCACTTTCAAATGAAAAGAAATATTATCAGACTATAGTACTAGGTAATTATACACCAACATGTTTACTTACATGAAACGATGTAATACGCGTGTTTAGAAAAATCAAAGGTTAAAGTTATAATTTACACGTTAACTAAGACTTTTTCAACGACCCAATTGACGGACCACAATTGAATTAATGGTCGTTATCCACGTCAGTCTAAAACACCATGAGTTTCCATGGTGGGACCCTAAACCTCATTGACTAAAGGGCATTTAGGTCTTTTCATAACAGCAGGAACTGGCATTTTCTCGTGAAGAAGAAGCGCCAGGAGCGTTTGCTCTCTGCCCCTCACAACAATTCACCTTCCTCCACCGCCTCCGACTCCCTCTCTCTCTCTCTATATATATATATATACATACATATAAACTCACACATCCCATCTCACCAACCGACTAGAAACGAAGTCCACTCTGTTTTTTTGAGAATCCTCTGCTTTCACTGTTTTTCGGAAGAGAGTTTTGGGAAATTGTTCTGAGAGAGAATCGATAAGAGGAATCAATGGCGTCGGAAGCAAGCATAACACCGAAGCTGTCGCTGTTCTCGCTTCCTTCCCAGCGGCCGGAGCCGCCGGGGATTTTAACACCACCGCTCCAAACCACCGCCTCGGTTCCATTCAAGTGGGAGGAAGCTCCAGGAAAGCCGAGGGACTGCGGCGGCAGCGCAGAATCCAAACCCAAGTGCGCGAGATCCTTGGAGTTGCCTCCGAGGTTGCTGAGCGAAGCGGCCAAAATTACCAACACGCCCTCCCCGACCACCGTGTTGGACGGGCCTGACGTCGGGCGGACTATGTCGTTTTCGTTCACAGATGGGAGCCCTGATGCTTTTGGGAGTAAGAGGTTGAGCAAGGAGAGTTGTAGGAGCGTCGGCGGTGGCGGTTTTGGGTCTATGAGGTGGGCAAGTTTCAGGAAGAACAAGGAGGTTGTTGACCACGGCGGTTTTGACTCTTTGCCTCCGGCTAGTGGTGGCGGTGAAACGAAGGTGAAGGTCACAAGAGTTCGGAGGAGAGCTAGCTTCTTGAATGCTTCCAACACAAGGTCAAGTATGTGGGTAAGTACTAAGTAACCAAATCTCAATTATTTACTAGCTCCCCTAACGCTCAATTAGCAAATTTAATTAAGTTTTTGCTTGAAATTTATTAAGGAGGATTAATAATCAACCAAAAATGATGTAATTTTATATAATAATATTAGAAATTTTAGCTAAACCGGACGAGTCATATTTAAGTATTGAAAATTTTAGGTCAAAATATGTCATATTCACCTACTATAATAAGCATCATAAGATCGTCTAGTGATTTGAGACGAATTCTAGATTTGCATGGCGTGTTTTGGTTCGATTCTTATTAATGGTGAATCACACGATGATCGTTAGAAGAAAGCTGAAGTGCCTGCGTCTTTCTAACTTTTGAAAGAGTAGATTACCATGACAAAACCATCAGCTGATTTTTTTATATAAATAATAATAATTATCACTCTGTGGGCAAAATATTTGATGCCACACTCTTTATTTGATTTTTAATTTCTTCACAAGACTTTAAAATTGCTTGTCAAATGTTGGCATTGTGAGCTTTATCTTCCCATTTTCTGCTAAATTAATACCACTAATAATCATTGGACTTCTCTTGGATACCAAATGTGATTATTTTATGATCAGTTTCTTTTTTTTATTTGTTTAATTGATTACAACATAATCATATTTGGTATCTTCTAATCAGTTACCTAATGTGATTATTTGTGACATAATTTTTCAACTCATAAGTATTTAATTAGTATTTTGCCAAATAAATAGTTAATTAGTATTAATTTTGTTATCATTGCAGGCAAGCATTTACAAAAGCCTTAAGCAGGTGGTCCCCGTTCCATGGAGACGCAGGCAAGAAAAACTTAGAAATATGGCCTCCTAAAGTCTTCCAACCGTTGGATCAACCCCATCTGACTCTCCATTTCCTACTTGTTGAAGAATATGTGTAAATATATCAGAAAATTAAAAATAGTTTAATTAGTCTAAAATTCATGAGCTTCAATATTACAAGGAAATCCCCTTCCACCAAATTCACCTAGTTCGGGATCCGAGCAGTTGAAATTTGATCTAACGGCTACAATTGTTTTAACTTTTAAAAGGGTCTTCTGTTTGTAGTCGTTGAATTAAATTTCAACGGTCGAATCCCAAAGTAGGTGGATTTGGTGGAAATGAATCCGAAGAGGATCCGTTTCTTTTTATAAACCCTCTATAATTTGTCAGTGTACCAACAAATTGCCCCCTTTATCTAAATTTCTGAGCATCTACTCTGATTCTTTTTTTTTGTTAGATTAATTAATTAACTTTTTCTTATCGTAAATTTCTTGTTATTTTAGGAGAGAAACTTCTCTAACGCTTCAGGTGATGAGAGAGAATGGTATACTGCAACAAGAGATGAGTAAGTTAAAGACTGCGATATCAATTTTAGGTAGGAAATTCAGTTCAAACTTAGGAATGAATGACATGATCAGACAAAAGCAACGGATTAGCGTATGGGGTGTGATATTCACACCATTTTTACTTCTCCCACACCTTTTTAGTTTTCGGCCGTTTAATCAGATGAATTCAAGAATATTAACGGACATAAATTAACAAGGGGTGTGTGAGAAGTAAAACGGATCTAGCGTGTATGTCATGCATCTTAAAAGGAAATGGTAAGTCCGTCACATCTAATGGTACAAAAACAGTCATAAACTCCAATAATATATGATAGAACTATGTGTTTTAGCAAGTGAATGAAATGCAAATGCTAGATCACAATATCAAGCAAGGAAACGGGTAATCGATGAAAATAGTTAGATACAAAGTTCAAGGTCACATCAACCTGACGAATCAAGCCTTCCGACGTTTTTGAATCGAAAATATACCAATCTCGCCAATTGTTCCGAAGATGTGAACTTCACCCTCTCAACACGTCCTATCCATATAACATGTCATGATTTCCTCATCTATTCTATAATTTTGTGCATATAAGGTAGCTAGACTAAATCATGGACCGGCAGAGCAGTCAAACACAAAGCCCTCTTCTTCTTGTAGTTGGTTTTGAAGCAAGCCTGCCTCAGCCTCTTGGCTCTCTCCGGCAACTCCTTGTCCGGCATCTGCTCTAGAAGCCTCCTGTGCTCCTCCAGCATCATCACATCATTCGTCAATCCCATCCCCTGCAATATTTCAATTTTCAACCGTCAATCCCTACATTACTAATTACGACTTTCCAAAAACAAAGATCATTGTCAATTAACCCTTTACTGTCATATTTGATGAAATTTCATTCATTGTGTAGTCAAATACTGGCACGTGACCAACACATTATTCACTCTTGAGGATAAAGTCGTGCTAATATTTGACGACAAAGTGAATAAAATTTCATAGAATCTAATAGTGAGGGGGTTAATTGATTGATTTCAAATAATCTTAACCTTATTTTCAAGTCATTCTCATCGCAATACATGTTTACTAATATGTAGGATATTTCGGAGATATTTCAAGACTTGGAAGATTGCTTTCAAACCCTCTTTTACTTTTTGATCCATAAACTAAGTAGTCACCCTGTGTCCTTTGTCAGAATTTAGAACAATAGTAATGGGCCTAACAATGAACTAAGTAGTCTCGCAATGACATCCTAAGTAGTCTTCGTTTATAGAAAAAAATTGAGAAAAACTCTTAATAGTATATCTCTCGTCACGTGATAAGAAATATATACCAACGTGAAACTATACTCCCATGGCACCAAAATTTTTCCCGTTTCGAGGGGAACCAGTAGCATGGGACAAAAATGACACTGAATATCATATGACAAGTTGACAACACATGAACATGCAAATACGTACCTTAACATTTTCAATGAGAGCATTCAAGCTCTTGATCTTTCTGTGCGGCCACCTCATGATGTTCAGTTCCCTGCACCTCCTCTTCAAAACCGTCAATCCCACCTTCAACTCCTTGGCCGCTTGAGTTATCGGCACGTCGAAATACTTCTGAATCTCGTCCAGTTCCAATGGAGTGGCACACCTCTTCTTGCAAAAACTCTCATTTTTTGTCCTGCTTCCCTCTTCATCTTTGCCCCAAATCTTCATCCCCCACTCGATCGTCCTCAAAACATCGTCCGAATCACCCGAAACACTGTTCGAACAGTCAACGGATTCCGCCATTGTTGTCAGGGGCTTTTCATCAACCACCTCGTAACCAAAAGTTGATGGAAAAGCAGCGTCGTCCAAAATGTAGTCCCAGATGCCTGAATCCTCAAAATCTTTTGAACCCATTTGTGGAAGCTGGTTGGAATTGCATCCCAATGGCAATGGCGGTGAATCGAAACCATTGAAATTTTCAAGGTGCAGACTGTCTAATGCAGCAGCACTGCAAAAGTAAAGTAACCCATGTACTAAAATTCATGTAAAAATCATAAAACATATACATACACAAACACACACACATATATATACAGCCTTCTTCAGTTCTTGAGATGTTTGAACAAATAAATGGAAGATTAAAAGGGAAAAAAAAGCAAGAAGTATAAATTTTTCGATCATCTTACTGTATGGAGGAGTTAAACTCATGTGGGTCGGTCTCAATTTTTGGAAACAGAAGTTGGTAGGAAATGGAATCTGCCATTGGAGAGTTTTGGAAAGCTTGGAGAACTATCAGAGAGAGTGGAGGAATTAAGCAGTATAAATTTGACTGGGTCGGGAAGGAGATTGATGGGATGAGAAAGTTCGTGCGGACGCTAAAAGGGGTTCCTGTGTGGCACTCACTACATCGGACATTTAATTTGTGAACAATTACCAATCACAAAAGGGGGCTGGACCAAGCCTTAATTATGATTTTAATGTTTAAGAAAATTGACTTGAATATGGTTTTAAAATTAATTTATCACCTACAAATTGACGGGGGTATTTTTGCTCACCACCTTCAAATGATGATGATGCTCACCAGTCACCATCCTATTTATTACTGTTAAATGAGTTTAAATTTCGAAATTTGTATAGTAGATAAAAACAAATTTAATAATTTGTTTAACAATAGTCAATGAGGTACAAGAAGAGAAAAGCAAACACGGAAAATTCGTGTATTATTTGTTCTTTTATTTTTTGTCAAAATTCGAGTATTACTTATTCAAAAAATTTATTTTGTAGTATTTTTTGAATAATAGATAAAAAGAGGTGTGCCGAAAAGAAAATTACTTTTGCAAGATATGTATGTATACGTATAATGTATAAATATATTAATTATGTCACTTAGAATTACAATCTAGTAATATTCATCTTCACTTATAAGTGGAATATCTTAAGTTTGAATTCCGAAAATAACAATAGCATCAATGGGGATTGATCCGACACCAAGATGCATAGGCTTTTATGTTTTTCGCCACGTCATCTTCTTTTTAATCTTTTTTTAGGAATATTAGGGAGCTTTTTTTTTCATAGTTAAGAATAATGGTGAAAATAACGATTGATAGGATAACAATTTTAAATGTATGAACATGGCGCAAAAAAACAGAAAACTTGACTAGAGGATAGGATATGATAGGAGAGGAGGTTACTGAACGATTAACGATGTAGTGGACATAAATTCACATTAAAATTTGCTTAATTACAATTCTACAGTAACAGTGTGGGAATAATCATTTCACGCATTACTCTACTAAATATTCTCATCTCTTAATTAACTATGGCAATTTATGATTAAGAGGAAGAGAAATGCAGAGAAACTCTTTCAAAGTAGGAACTCTTTGCCACATCATGTTTTTTGTACGCGTTTTATAATGTTGGTACGAAAATTTAGGAAAATGAACTATGAGGTGGATCGAGAGTCCCTTAGCATTTCTCTAAGAGGAAAGCAGCAACTAGGGCAAGGGGCGACCATGTGCTACATAAAGGCTACACACAAAATAAGTGCAAAAGATTTGAATTTAGAGAGACCTTAAAAATCCCAATTTATCGGAGGCTTTTATTTCACTTCTAATTTTTCATTTAACCACTGCACTACACCCCCTCGTCTATGAAAATTTTCTTCCGCACCATTTTTAGTCACGAGTGAGCGGTTGAGATTCAACTAAATAAGCTATTATTAAGTCTCAACCTATACTTTTTCCAAATTAATGCACAGGTGAGCCTTGCTCCTCAATTAGACCTTGCCTTAAGTGATAGTGATACTCACCATTCTATTTATTAATGTTAAATGAGTTCAAATTTCAAGATCTGTGTAACAAGTATACACACTTTTAAAATTTAAACTCGTTAAATGGTAATAAATAAAGTCGTGAGCATTACTACAGCCCGAGGGTGGTGAGAAAAAATCACACAAATAAAAAGTGGCTCTCTACCATTATGCAGTTGCACTTTTCTACATTTTTATTAGTTAAACCGTTGCACGGTTACATTTTACAAGAGGACGAGCAAACATATAACTCAATCAAAACCTCTATATACCTACGATTATTGTTCTTCAGCAGTAAAATCAGGCTCCGCCGGCTTCTGAAGTAGCATGGCCGGTAGTCTCTCTGGCACCCTTGCCTTCCGTGTACCACTGCGCCGTAAAGTACGCAGTATATTAGCAGCAAAACGGGAGGCATAAATGGTGGCGCCTAGACTTGGGGAGCTGGCCTCGGCCTTGGCCAATGCATCTTGCAGCCTATTCTCCTCTTCCTGCAGAGACTCTTCTAGCTTCTTCTTCATATGGCGGCGCCACGCTGCTTGTATAAAAGTGGCTGCCCAAGTCCTCCACTGTTGTGAGTATAACCTGAATGTGTGCCGGAGCTGCTTGCTGTGGAGTCTCCTGAACTGAGAGGCTACAAACTTCAAGTCATCCGCTTTTAAAGCAAAGGCTTCAACTTCACTAAGGGCTTGGACAGTTCTGGTCGAGATGGGAAGATTAGCTGATGGGTGGGGATCAAGAGCCCATGTCAAAAGTTCTTCGCCGCAAAAGTCACCGGCCTTGAGATACTCTGAGTTGAAGAAACCGGTTCTTCCACCATTTGTGGTCATAGTCAATAGCCTGCCCCGCATAATAAAGAGCATTTCGTCGACTGGGTCTCCCTCCCGAACGATATAGCTTGCCTCTGTATACAGTACCGGCTTGAGACGGTCACACATTGCATCGAGCAGTTGTTCATCCATTTTCTCGAACATTGGCACCTTTAATGCAGTCAAGGAAAAAGAAAGAATCAATATCTAGCGGTTTGAAAGGCACACTAAGATGACAATAACATAATGGTGGAGAAACTCACTCTCATAAGCAGAGCCAAACAGAGATGGCGCTTTATGTCCCTTCTAAGATCCTTCGGAAGATTACATATCAAATTCTGTTCATCAACGCCTCTGGTTTCTTGCCATTTATATTGTTCGTACCGCCTGATGCGCTCTCTCAAATCATTGGGTAGCAAGCGGTGGGACATCCATTGTTCAGCATCTCTCCTTTTCACTCTCATTTCCTCCAATCTTGTGGTTGTAGACTGCAAATATGTCTGTTTCAACAATTTAAAGTTCATCAGGACCTCACGACAGAAATAGAAACGATACTTCAATCCTGCAAAAACTACATGCACAACACTAAGTACCAACCTGCATATTTCCGATGAGAAATGAAAATAGCACCAATCCAGCGATAGAAATGAAGATTGCAAAGCAGATTTCCCATACATATGTACTGGTTGCAAGGTTCTGACCAAGGGAACTGCAAAATGAGAATATCGAGAATCAATACCAAATAAAGATACTGGACCAAATATAAAATACTCCTTTTAAAAGTTAACTCTACTGAGATCACCGTCAGAAGACCCTAAGAATGCAGACTGAGACAAGTTGTATAGGCACACCTCAAATTCCGTAGGCCCCACCAAAAACAGTAAAAGAATTTCTGAGGAAAATCCGTGCTTGACTCAACAATACCAGATTGAAGGGCATCAAGGAATATTCCAAAATCGAACTTTAATTTGTCTTCATCTTGTATTGGGCAGGAAGAATTTAAGAATGTGGAAGCATTCCAGCTCGCGGTATCACAGTATAAATCCTTGCCCGAGCATATGGTTGCATTGTTCCCACATGCTGCTTTCCAGCACGTGGTTTCACGTTCTATAGAGACCAAGTACCAAAAGGCTCCCAGTACCTAAGAACAGCATATCACTTGAAAATCAGAAGATTTAAAAAATACGAGCAATTATATTGTAGCGGTGAATATCATGATCAAACTTACATGACTGGCAAGCATGTAAAGAAAAAGATTAAATGCAGCTCCTGCCCAAGCAGTTTCGGTAAGTATACCAGATGCCCTTGTGACTTCTCTATACAATGGATATATTCGTATAAACCTTGGAAGATACTGGAACAAAACCACAAACTTCAACAAATTCTTTGTATTCAACGTTCTTGAGCCTCCCAATTTGGGAATGAAAATTAGAATAACCACCTGGACATATTTCATAGTATTATTAGGGATCCAAAGTAGAATCAAAATACTGCACAAACATTCCAATCTAAACAAGACATCAGCTACAACTAACCACACTATAAGCCGAATTTAAAGTAGCAGATACGACATATGATTTAGTAATACTTGCAACACCAAGAGTATGCACAATATTGGGCAAAAATGATTACCCATCCTATGCGGAGAGAGCAGAGATTGTGCATAAAGATACTCCTCAACCCGCCATATTAGATGGGTAACCAAACAATATATTAATGCACCTCATACAAACTAGGAAGGGTTAGCTTACTTGTGGGAGAGGCAGGACTGCAAGAATGTCAATTACGAAGTATGATGAGAGATACCTCCTTGCAATGGCCCAAGCATCTTGAACTAAAACACCTCTTCCAAACACTCGAGAAGAAGGAGCAATAAATCCAGTACGAAACTGGAAAATTATGTGAACAATATAAAATATATCTGTGAATGAACGCAAAACACTAGCTGTTATCTCCATCTTCCTGTCCAAACCAAGGCACTTGTTTGCATCATCAATCACCGGGATGTAAAAGAACAAGGGATCAAGGGAGACAGCAACAATACATGCCAATACAAATATCTTATTCCACTTCTGAAGGAATGGCCCTTGAGGATCAAGAATTCTACCACCAAAGCTGTTGGCGACAACACTGTCAATTGAATAAGATTTCCATGACTTTTTAATCAGCTCAGAACCAGATTCCAAGCGTCTTTGGAATTTGGCTGAGACCGAGTTAATCGTTCTTCTGAACTTCCCTGGTGGCATATCATCATCTGGAGAATATAATGGCTCAACATTTTTCTCTGCAGTGCAGTCCTGAAACCTGAAATAAGACGGTATGGATATTCCAATATAAATAACACATAAGGAGATTTCCAAGCGTCTAGGATTACATACAAAAGTTATAACATATTTCTGAAATGAAAGGGCAGGGACAGGGTGGTGTAATTATGTGCCAACGCTAGCAGCCTAGCAACAAACAAAGAGTTCAGATGAGGACGGAACCAGGGAAAGAAGTGAAATTAGCAACAGTAATGGCACATTATATCATCCCATTGACACTGTGATGTAAAAATTCAGGCAAGTACTTCGTAGTAGCAGGACAACGAAACATCCAAAAATCCAAACTTATTTGGTTCTGAAAGCGAGAAAAGTGTTATATAGTTGCAAACTAGTCAACACAACATGATATCATGTATGTAACGTTATAAGTAATAATTGTCAAACTAACCTGACGAACTTCTCTTGCTGAAAATTCATGACTACAGCTTGTTTTCGATAGAATCTCCACCGGAAATTCAACCTCCGAACGTTTCAACAACCCAAAGAACTCCCTCATGCACC